TCGCCCGTTTTCTCGCCTTCTATTTCTTCTTCGTCTTCCCTGTGTCCACCTCCAGCTAACTCCCAGCATTCGTCTGCTCCGAGTGGACGTACCGACCGGCCGCCACATTGCCTTGAAAGCGGACCTCCATCGGAATTGATCACCTGTGGAGCGCCGTGTGATATACGTTTTCCTCACAACATGAGACAAGCAAGATGGCCGCCTATCACACGCGACGTGTGCCCTAATTTATCTCTTTTCACCCGTAGTTAAAAAGTAACCAAAGAATGGATTAACCACACAAGTGGTTTGCAATGAATCTATTACGGAGATAAATGAGGGGAAGGACGGTTCCTCTCAATCTATATCGTCGGTTCGACTGCCAGGTGTATTCTGGGAAATGACTTTCACCTGTTGTCAGGTTTCTAGCAGACGAACATTACTGTAGGGCAAACCCAATTATCGACCATTATTACATTTTTTGGAAGAAAGAGGGCAAAAAGGAGAATCAAACATTTATCATTGTCGTGGTATTATTAATTTATGAAATGTCACTGCACGTTTGGGTAAATGCAGGCACAGTTCTTTCGCGTGAGCAAAGTTTATGTTATCTAATTCTTATTTGTCGCCGGAAGTGAAATTGAATACTTTGTATTACATTAAAAAGAAGGATTCAATGAATTTAGGATTTAAGAGACGTACGAAGAAATTTTGGACTAACTCATTTATACAAGTTAAAGCAATGAGGAGGAGAGAAGGGGCAGACGGGTGACAATAGTTGATAAAAAATACATCATTCTGTTGGATAATTGGCTTATTTAATATTTCCTTCCCTTCACTTCAAGTTGGGTGTCTCAGTATGGATTTTATTGTTTATGTATGGGCTTTTCAATATCGGTCTAAGACCTAGTTGGCGCTTCAACGTAAATCAACAGACTAGCTATCCTGGTCACTTTCATGGGTTAAATAAGGCGGCGCCGGGACGGAAGGTTAAAACGCCACAATGGCGGCCTGAGGCAATTGGTGTTGATTTTCTTCCACAGTCATGACAACAAATATCCAAATTAATGAACCGGAAGTTTATTATCGGTCTTTCTTTAAGGAAAACTCTCTCGTTGTCCTTCGTCAGCGTTGTAACCGAAGACGATACACAATGTGATTGTCCCAATTAAAATCTCGATCACTTATTTACGTGTTCAAAAGTAGGAAATCCCCCTGAGCTTTTACAACGTGTGAAACAAGAAAATTAGTTTCAAGTGCCGATAGAAAAGAAACAAAACAGTGGTGTTATCCCAGATTTTCAAGAATTGGAACACTGAGTGATTGACTTATGCCAGTCCTCTAGGCTAAAGAGATTATTTGATTACGTTTTATACGACGTCGCTCTTCCCAATTTTACAGGAGAAGATATATACTATAACGGTTGCCTCGTGATGGTTTCGACCGAATATAATTATACGACCTCTGTTGGAAAAAGCGTACTGAGTGATTTTCTGACGATATTTTCTGGTCTTTTTTTATTCTTTCATCACTTGGGAAAGGGCTTACACAACGAGCTACAAGAAATTACACCCGTGCAGGAATTTTAATTTGAATATTCCACAAGAATCAACATCGGATAATGTTACACGGGTCCGATGCCGGAAATCGCAATCCATTTTCCCCGCGTTGACGGGTGACGTTTTAGGTTATCTGACAACGATAACCATAATCAATTATCGTACACGTTGCGGTAGCGAGCGAGCCATGGCGCTAATGCGCGCGTTTCGGAACAGGCCAAAAATCATTACGGCGAGCAGGAGTGGCAAGTGCGAAATAGGACGACTGTTTGTTTATACACAAAACATGACATAAACTGTCGTGTGTTGGATGTAAACATGGAGAGTATGGGATCATCTAGATCGTGAAGATCGGGTGTCGTCGGGGACCAAATTGGACAAAGTTCCCTTTTAAATGAAAAGCGTGTCGGGTAAACTTGTACATTTCTATAGTAGATCGTTTCGTGGCGAAAAGAACTATAGCAGTAGATATCAAATCATCCAATTTCAACCTGTACGTCACTCTACACAGGCCGGTACACGCACCCGCCAATTAATTTGCAACCCTCTATTATTATTTTTTTTTAACAAACTAATGAAAAGGAAAAAAAACGTTAATAACATTGATATTCACCCTTTCATTTCTTTGGTTTTCTAGCCATGTATTTAGGAATTGTTTTTGGGCAGCTCTGTTTAATTCGATTGTCTGGTGTCAATGACAATCATTATACTAGCCATGTCTATCACGTCTTATTGAATATGACTTATGACGTAATTTTTAAGGGGTATTGAAATCAACCTTGATTTGATTTCTCCACCTTCTCACCGACTGTGTTTGATAAAGCTTGAAAATGATTTCTGAGCCTTTCTGTATTTCTTTCAGCTGGAAATGTATTTAATAGCACCGTTTCCCCTCGGAAAAAAGATGCTTTTGAAAAGACCTCATAATCAAATTTGACTTTTTTTTTGTTTGGGGGGGGGGGGGGGGGTTCTTACGAGACCGAAATAATTTTGATGTTTCCAAAACTCAATAGTTTCTTGCATAAGAAAGTCCAAACGGGAGAAAAAAAAAAAACCAAAATACAACTAATTCGTATTACCTTTCACATTGCAGTTGCATGACCAGTACTCCTCAACATCGTACTTAAACATATAAATATTGATGGCAGAGAGTGTTACCTCTTCATTCACGAGGAGAACATAATACGTCTTAGAGTAAATAACATTGGCATAGCTATAGAGGGCAGGAGTTCACCCCTCCCCCTGTCAAATAGCCAGGGGGAGAAGGAGTAAGAACGAAGCAGATTGGAGAGAGAGAGGGGGGTGATAGGTCCCTTTCCATTCCCTGTTTAGTCTCTAGTCTCTTAAGTCGCATTATATCCACGGATACGATCGGCACGACCCCGTCAATGATACCAGTGCCCTCCCTCCTCCCCACCGACGGTTACAGCAATTTGCCAATGGCAACTGATGAATGGTTTTAACGTAATACTGAATGAAGCAGATTCCAAAACTAACTCATCGTCTCTGCCTCCTCAAGAATCTCTGACATTTCTATGATGTTTATTGACGTTCAATTAGAACCCTTAATGTGACTGGCGTACACGTCATCGCCATGATGGAGTATGCCGCATCAAACTTGGGGAGTGTTTCACAAAGACTAAGATCGACCTTAAGTTCGACTTAACTACGGCAGACCATTAATTCCAACGTTTGCTCGCACTATTGGTCTCTCAAATATGATTTGTTAGATAATATATTTTCCTTCAATAATGAACTATCAACATTTTTTAATTCTGTAGATTTGTAACCACGATTTATACGTCCCTTGATAAACCAATGTCAGGAATGGTTAGAGGACCTAGTGACATGAATGGCCTGTCAAAGATAAGTCCAACTTCAAGTCGATCTTAGTCTTTGTGAAACACCCCCTGGTTCCAAGATGTATAATTACAGTTGTATTTCTTCATTTTCTCTGTGGATTATCTAAGGTGGTAAATTCAAGTCTTGAACCATACTCTGTACGTACTAGTCTATGAAAACAGCTTCTCTGGCATATCATGTGATAAAAAAATTAATAAAAATCTAATTGAAAAAAAAAAAAAAAAAAAATCAAAAATGAATTAGTAAATGACTTGTGATTCAGCTTATGACTAATTCTTAATGCAACGAGTTTGGCAATAATGATCTTCCTTACAAACTCAGACTGACTCTAATAGGGAAAGTCTACCATGACATTAAGCAGTTTTAAAAAGAAGCATAAACATGAGAGAAATTGGTTAATGAAAGTTTGAGCTAGAAGCGATCTAAAATGAGAAATTTGTGAGTTTTTGAAGACGCGATCAATTAAACACAATCTTGCGAGCTTTCCTTCCAATTGCCTTGTACTACGAGTCTTAAAAATAATGCCCTTGTACTACAATTCTTAACGACTGTTTATTACCCCCTAGGCAAATTTTCAATCATGCATTCATCCTAAATATAATTATTGCAAATATATTTGTATACACCCACTGTATTTTGTCATCAATAACAAGGAAAATAAAAGTTTATGCAATTCTCTCTACAGAGCAAATTGGAGAGGAGCTCGCAAGATACGTCATAGTTTTGCTAATTTCTGTTTGACTGATGGCAACATAAAACTAAATCATATCTTACCTATTCTTAATCAGTTATCGATCAAGTGTTAACCAATTTGTTTCTCACACTTTACTGCTTTCAATTAAAACAAGAAATATTCTGATGGATTTACCCTTTAATTTTCGTCGGTTATTCCCACATGCAGGTGGTCATTTCATTTTTTACTTTTGTTTTCTAAACGGGTGTAAGACAAACGAATGACGCACATTCGTATGAAATACGTAGTATTAGTGGGGCATTGATATTTTGTGGGCAATGAATTGAGTGCATTTTCAAGATCGGTATTACACTCAATTTGTGTGTGCTAAATCAACCTAGGACTCATTACAGACTACTTCACACGGGGAAATTGAAAAATTTAAGTTCGTATTGCATTTTTTAAAAATGGCCTTTGGTCTTTTTCGAGGGTGATGATAGAGTAAAAACAAAATATGAAGTTAGACGAAAATCAGTGTTTTATTCCTCACTCCATACCTTTTATAAATAGCTAGTCTTTGTTATCTTTTTGATAGGAAGCTTATTACATTACAACAATATTATACATTTTTACCGAAACAATGAAAAATAGAACATTTATTTGTTTATGATGAACGCATGCAAAGGCTGTAGTTAAATATACATACAAATATAGTTGTTGTTAGCTATCTTATCATATGACATTCCATAAAAATAAGTATAAACTATGTATGACACAAAGAAATCAAATAGTTTGACTCGTAACTGAATTTGTTTTACTTTCATTGGATGATTCTCACATTTCACTACGTTGAGAACAAAATTAAATCATCCAAATACATGTAAATAATCACCGGACGTCTATTTTTTTTGTTTCACTACAGATGCTGCTGTTATCCGGGGGCGACTAATATCTTCATCTCTCTCTTTAATGTGATACTTCAATCCCGAGCCAAGGTGTCCGTCATTTGATACGTCCCCAAGGAACTATCAGACATCTGCGAAAGAAGAACAATAACAAATCACAAACGAAAACCCGTTTTTTGTAGAATTCGATTGAACCGTCCAAGATAAACTACAGCTTGTATTCAATCGTAATCAAATTCCGCCAGGTTTCGCATCGATCACGAGTTTGAAGTGTGCACACCCACTTGTGACAGTTGTACGGGTTTTGGACGCGCGGATGACAGACGTGTGCCGCAAGTTATGTTGGAAACGAAATCTTGCATGAGATAGATCGGCTGCAGCGTTTTTCATATACGACGATTGTATGATTTGGTGTTTATACAAGAAGCACATCTCGTTTTTATTGCTCTGTACTTTTACGGATGAGTCGATCATTGGTTGTAAAGTTTGATTTATTTCCGGTCGAACAAGCGAGCATAAACAATCTGGATTAATAATGGTGTGTATTTGGTGAGCCACCGTTGGATGGGCTATAAACGCCGGATCACAACTTTGAATTTCGAGTATTGATCAAACTGCTGAAGGAAAACGGAACGTCTATTTCGTATAGTCTAGGTAAGTGTTTAAACTTCTTAAACTAAATTGTTTACTTATTACTCATGTTTTTAAGTAAAGGATTGCTTTATTAGGACTTCAAGAATATTAGGACTTCAATAAATCATCAGATGTATTGATCGCTGGTCCACTATTGGTGAACGCGCAAGGTTGTCGACTTTAATAAATATAAAAAAGAAAAAAGAAAAGAGCATATTTTCCGAGGAACAGCGACTGTCCATGATTGTGTTTTAAATATAGAGGCATAACATTTTGCACACAAGGAATAACAACTATAAATTAAGTAAATGTTCATTCAGATAGTTGAGGCGAATGTGGTATGTTACAACATACCCTCTGTGATGTGCTTGTGTCGACAATCTGTTAATTTGGAGAAAATTGCGCTCAGTATCTTTTGGAGCAAATTGCGCTCAATATCAAAAATATTTTTACAGACTTATAATTCGAACACTTTTGTACAAACAAAAATAATGTTTAAATGTTTGTATACAAAATATTAGGGCTCACTTGTGGAAATTACTAGAGTGAGAAGTTGAAGTTGTAACTTTCTCTTTCTTTCTCTCTCTCTCTCTACTCCTCCTCCTCCTCCTCCTCCTCCTCCTCCTTTCCTCACTCACGTTATATTTTCCATTTGTCATCCTTCACTCACTCTCCTCTTTCTATCTCCATCTTACCTTTTCTCCCTCCCTCTCCGACACTCCCTCTTTTCCCTCCCTTGTTTTCTCTATAACCTTCTTTTTCTGGTCCCGTCTTATTATTCTTTGCCACCGTGTGTTCTTTATGTATTCTTTAAAAAATATAATTATGTCCATACCATTTTGGTATTTCACGTAAAATTTCTCCTTCAATGTATATTTTTTCCTTCTGAAGGGGAAAGTTCTAATAAACCACGACCGACATAGAAAGTCATAGTTCTACTCGCATTATGGCGACACAAGTGAACTTTGACCCTGGGGTCACGACGACAGAGGGCTTCGATTATACAGAGCCTGGGTCAAACAATGGCACCAGTAACGGCATTGTCGACAGGTGGTCGCTTGACAAAGTAAGTTCATATCTTTTTAAAGATATAGGCCAACATTATTTGTACCATAATATATTCTATTCATTATCAAGAATGATAATCATAATACATTAAAGGTAGATTATGATTGCTGCTAAAGCATGAATGTTTAATCATAAATTAATTCAATTTAAACTGAATTAAATAATATCCACGAAACTGCCCTACAGATGTATGCAATATATTTCAGTTTAACAATTGGAAACACTGATAAGTTAATACATGAGAAGATATGAAGTGAACATGAAAGTTACCTTTTCCCCTTGAATTCCGTTGATAGAAAAAATGTGTGTATTTTTGCTGACTGAAATGCAGACACTCTACATTCAAGTTAATGAGCAAAACGAATGTGACTGATACTATGAAGCTATCCCTATAAAGTACCAATATTAATGAGCCTTTAACGCTCTGATTCACTATTCCATTAATGTAGTCAGAGATTGTATTTCTTATGACGATATCTTATTGTGACGAAAGCAAAAGCGACCTAACGACCATCAACCTACTTATTACCGCAATCCTGATACGAACCACTGAGTAACCCATGATACGAATGATGGAGCCCTTCATCTGAAGGATAGCTATGTAACATTCGCGATCGATTTCAAAATGAATTTATCCACTATACCCACCCCCCCCCCCCCCCCCCCCAAAAAAAAGAAAGAAAAAGAGGTAGGTTGGTCATCCAAATCTTCTCTATATCTTAAAATTCGACCATGTTCGCACTATTATATTCGCTCATTTATCAAACTACTTAAGACCAGTTTTGGAAACACCCCCTCTCAAAAAATGAAATGGGAGCTCTTATTACCAATCATGTGAAAGAATATGTTTTGACTAATACGTAATGATACAAATTTTGCCGGGAAACCGCCTACTAATTGATATATTTGGTAAATTACTATATATCTCCGGACTGGATAGATATCACGTAGTCCCATACATCTTTCTGTGTACAGTCCTTGTAACTTTTGTATTCCAGAACCTTGCAGTACACACCAATACTTATAGGCTAGAAGATCAACCTTTTCTGATCGATTCCACAACATTTTCTTCAGAATGCAATCGCATGACCAGAACTGGTCCTTACCTTTAAATATCAATTCAACAGCAAGCATCAACTTTAGAACGATATTAATTGCGATTTATTCCTTTAAACCCTTTTAAACAGCACATCCAGCTTGCCGTCCTCTGGGTTCTCTTCACCCTCATCATAGTAGGGAACGGCATCGTCCTCATTGCAATATGGCTCGTCCGCCACAAGAAATCCAGACTCAACTTCTTCATCACAAATCTCGCCGTTGCGGGTAAGATTCCAATGAAATTGTACCCCTGTCAAGAAAGCGGTATGTTTCATAAAGCGGAATGAAACAAAATTCGCATGCTCACGTGACCTAGCCCGTTTCCTTTCTGCCGCCTGCAGATTTTGTTATTTAAACATGACACCCATATTTGATACACATAGATTTGAGGGGCTGAATATGACGGATAGATAAATTTTGATTAAGTTATGGCGATTTGCGATGTTTTCATTTTAATACGGCGAAACGTTATATCTATCTAAGTAAGATATAAAAGTAGTCAATTTGTCACGACGTGTTTCTAAATATTGGCAGTAGGATACCTGTAGATGGCGGTATGCTGTTTCAAATGGAATTTAGTTCTTGATTTGTACTATGCGTGATTAAAGGAAGTGTGTAGCTTCCATTTAACTCCTGCTCTTTTCGTTCATGCCCTTATATAAGTATCGCCGTTGCAGATAAGATCATATTGAAACTTTACAAACATGGGTATATTTCATTAAGCCGAATGAAACAAATTACATATGATCTCGTGATCTAGCTGTTTCCCTTCTGCCGTCTGCAGATTTGATCAATAAACATGACACCCATATTTGATACTTTTAGATTCGAGGGGTTGCATTTGGAAAGATAAATTTTAATTAACTTATGACGATTTTGCAATATGTAATATCAGGGGAAGATATGAAAAAAGCAAATTTGTCAAATGAACGAGAAAGTTGTTCTAGGGTGACCGTAGGAGGCGGTATGCTTTTCCTGGTGGATCTTAAACATTGACTCGCACTGTCCGTTGATAAAGGAAGTTTGTAGCTTGCGATAACGCCTGTTGTATTTATGGGCCATTCTTTCTCAGGCTCTTTCCAACATTGATTTTTTAAAGGAGGTGATTAAAAATTGACGTTATAGGTTTTCAGTTTGCTATTTCGATGTCTACAATTATACATTTTTTTGCCTTTTTTATGATAAACACAAGACATCATATTGTATACATTAAATACATCCTACTCAAAAAATTAGGCTTACTGGTCAATTTTATGCATTGCACAACGGTGATAGGTCAGACAAAATATAATTTCATATAAAGAAATTCAGCTTTTTTTCTAGAAGATTACAAAACTCCATTAATTCAATTTATTCATCTGAATATTATTACAAACAAAAAAGGGGCACCATACTTGTAAATAATTTTCCACTTTCACCTTTCATCTCTTACCCCGCCCCTCGTATCTCTCTCTCTCTCTCTCTCTCTCTCTCTCTCTCTCTCTCTCTCTCTCTCTCTCTCTCTCAGATATCTGTGTGGGTTTATTCAGCGTGGGTTTTGATATTCTTGATCGCCAGACACCGGAATTTATAGGTGGTGACATAGCCTGCAAACTATATCGATATGTCCAAGTAAGTATTTTGAACAGTACCAAGACCCATGCACACAGTGAGCTTCTGGTATGAAGCCCTCATTTAAATGTGTCTGGAAGTTGTAGAGATAAAATGGGGAATTCAGATGAAATTAAATTATCACAAAACCTTAATTTGCTGTACAAAGGTTTTTTGCACATTGTACTATTTACTTTACTCAGACAGCGCATTGTGAAAATGAAATAAGTTGAATATATCACTAACCGTTAATTTTGGTGGTAGTCCTGTTGGTAGCAATCTCTCATTTATCGAACGGGGATTGGTTTTGCCCTTTACGCTCAAAGACAAAGTTTAAAAGGGGGATTGAAAGGAAGAAGATTCGTAGTGTCAGCAAGTTAGGTACATTTGTATTTAAAGATATGCCATTGGTATAGCGTAATACCAAAGTAAGTATTTATGTTCAAATCTGCCAAATTTGAAACAAAATCTGAATCTCTAACATTACAATTGCCTTCCAGTATGATTTAATTGAACTTTGAAACCTTCCGAGAGCCTTGATGTCTAAAAACCTCTAAAGTAGTTTCATGTTTGCTTGTTTGTTTTTCATTTTTTTTTTATATGCAGGCTTATGTTGTGTTGGCTTCATCGTACCAGCTTGTAGCATTGAGTTTTGATCGATTCTTTGCTATAGTTTACCCGATGGATTTCACAGGCAATGGTAATATATTTTTTTACTTTCATTTACATTCTTAAAGACGTGTATATGCAGTAGGTGAAATGTGTTTGATGACAGTTAATTCAAAGCAATTTTAGTTTAGTATGTCTATGTTTTAAGCCCCACTGCACTACTTAAAGCTACTTGCGCCCTCTATAGCAAACAACGCCTAATCGGTGACCATTGGTCCCCAATGGTCCCCTTTTTATTATGTTGATTGAGAGCTAATTTGATGAGATAACCACCTGTCATTGACCATGCAGGGAGGTTTAATTCCTCCCGGCTAAACAATTGCAGATATGCTTTAAAAAGCAGCTTTGAATTTGAAAAGTTATCACTTTGATTTAATTGATAAATGATTATATATAACACAAATTACACAGGGAATGAAATCTCTTTCATCGATTTTTACTTCCCTTTTTTGTTAATATTTTCTCCTTCGTATTCCTTGTTCTCATTAATCTAATCCATCTTCTTGATCAGCCTAATTTTGAAATTCGGGTAGAAACTGAGTTTATATTATTGCAGTTTGCCCATAGTCAGACAGGGTAGATATCTTTTAAAAAACGGCATATTTGGGATATGATAAAGAAATAGGGGGCCTATTTATGACCCCTGTGGTACGCCACATACAGTATAACGCTGTTCATATAGGTTTAGCGTCATTAATACCTACAAATTGTTGTGTTTAAAAATATATATATTATTGTGAATACCAGGTAAGCGGTCGACGATGCTGGCAGCGGGCGGTTGGATATTACCAGCGGTGCTAGGTATTACTTCACCCGTCGTTTTTCAAGTCGATCCCCTAGCCTCCCCAGACGGGACACAAATGGTGATGTCATGCTGGCCTGCTGCACTCTACAGCAATCGATCGTGGATACTCAAGGTTTGTTATGTTTCGATTAAGGGCATCGTTTAACAATGATAAATCTGAGATGACTTAAGTGCGTAGGTCCCCTAGTTGATAAGCACAGTAGCATATACATGTTTTAGCAGTCACGCAAAACAAACACTGGCAAATTATTATTCAATAAAATCTGAGAATGTATACTATTATCTAGATCTATTAGGAATAAATCATTGGCAAAATAATACCATAAATTGAGGTAAAAAAAATATTTTCCAACTATATGAGCGACAGTGTATTTAGAGAGTCAAATCCTTATCAAGCCTGAATTTCGATATCAGGTTTTATCTGCACAAAATATGCACAAAACAAAGTTATTCAATCTTTATCTGAAGCCTGCAATGAGAACGGTCCCTTTTTGCAAGTATTTATCTATAACTCATACCTGGGAAACGTATACCTTATTTCAAATCTTTCAAATTCCTAGGTTTACGCGATGTACGTCACCTCCTCGTTCTTCTACATTCCTCTGATACTCATCACCTTTTGTTACGTCACAATCATCGTAACCATCTGGACGAGAGCGAAGAAGATGGGCGGACCCCAAAAGGTCAAGAAGTCGAAAAACGCAAACAGAGATGGTGAGAAATTGATCCATTAGTTATTTTTAAAAATACATATTTTATCGTTATTCACAGGTTGCAAGCAATCATTTACTTGTCATACGTATGCCTGCAATACACTATAATAATATACCTCGTCAAATGTCGATGCATATTTGTACTTACGATAAAATAATGATTTCTAACTTTTGCTATATTATATACTCGTAGAGGAATTCAAACAGGAATTCAAATCGAATTAAAAAAATTAAAAATCGACATTGGCAGTGACATCAAAATAAGGAGGGGGAGGGCAGGGAAACAAAATTTGAATTGTAAAACTTACCAACAAAATAATGAATATATTTTGTTTCCATCCGTAATTTCAGTCACAAGAAAGCGTTCATAATTTGTTAATACATAATCTTGTTTACTCTAACATTCTCTGACAAGCGCCCGACTCCGCGTGCCTCCCCCTCCACCCTCCCTCCCCACCCTCCCTCCCCACGCATGTATCAACCACTGCCTCAGTAACGGCTGCTAAATTATAGTTCATACTCCTTCTCATTTTCCTAAATTGTCGACTTTGAATTCGTGTATAATATTCTTCCTTTTGTAAAAACATTCAGTGATTTTTTTGTTGTTGTCTCTATTTATTAATTGCCAGTCGCCTACGAAGGATTGTCAAAAGACAGCAACTCCACAATGCCTAAACATCGAGCCAGTTCACGAGGCCTAATCCCAAGGGCTAAGATTAAGACCATCAAAATGACCATCTGTATCGTCTGTGGTAAGTGATGAAGTGATGATATAATTGCACTCTATACAAATGTGTATGTTATTATCAATTAATCGTTTTGTCTTTTGTCTTATTTTCAAATTCAAAAATGGTTGGGAGAATTTACTGTTAATCACTGTTAGAGGGTATTGGACAGTGACGCCTTCTTAGAAAACCATTAATATCTTTGAAGTTCGAGTATTTTTTCAGAATTGTTTTCACGTTAGAGGGTTAGTACAGTAGAAGGAAGATAATAAGTAACATTTCATACAAAAATTACGGAATTTTTTAATCAACCTTCAACAATGTTACCTAGTCACTTTAATAAAGCCCGTGAAAAAAATTAGTGCATGTGTTGTCAGCAATTCTGGCAAAGTCTGCATTGTTCAATTGGCATTGTTTTGTTGTGATGTTTCTCTCAAAAGTCACATCGCTGATGCAGTAAGCCAGTCCAAGATACCTTGTACGCAATTGGCATCGTATAGCAGTTGTTTATAAACCACTGCACTAATAAGAAAAAAAAAAATCAGTTTATATGCCTATTCATTAATCATGTTACTTGTTAGAAACACTTACGGAAGAGTGAAACAACAACTCCAACAAAAGATCTTGTGTTGTTTGTTTATGTAAATTGTAAAGTTGTATATTGAAAATACAATCGTTCATGGGCACATTCCCGATCGTCATTAGCACCCAATCATAATTATACCGAAATTTGACTTTAGTTTTGATTAACGCCATTTCTAATTCATGTTTTCTTCTCTTCTCGTTTTTCCACCTCTCTCTCTCTCTCTCTCTCTCTCTGTCTAACCTCATGTTCTCTATATGTTTATGAATCTCTCTCTCTTTCTCTCTCTCTCTCTCTTTTATTTTCTTTGACAGCTTACATATGTTGCTTCATGCCGTTCTCTCTCTTCTACACGCTGGAGGCATTCGGATGCATCGACACCTCCAGCCAAGCGGTCCTCTTGGCCACGCCCGTTCTCCAAAACCTCCCGTCCCTCAACAGCGCCACCAACCCTTTCATTTATGGCATTTTCAGCACCAATGTCTGCAAAGAATTGAGGTAAGGAGATACAAATAACATATTTTCAGTATGGTTCTACACCGGGAGGCATTTTGGCAGTTAGGAGATTTACTTTTTTTTCTCATAAGGGCTTACTATATCATGTATATACTGACCTTTTGTCGACGGTGGGCCTGTATTTCCAGGAAAATGTACACTTTCGCACCAAATTACTGGTTTCGCCAGTGCTCAGTCATGAAATCAGCAGGATTTTATTTTTTGCCAACCCTTCCCCCCCCCCCCCCTCCGTGTCCCCTTCTTTGCAGAGGGGGGATACCTCATGTTCAGAAAATAATAAATGAAAACCTAGACAAGATAATTTATGTAGAAACGGGCAACACAGCTAGAAACCTCTCTCCTCACCCATTTGTATGCATGTATTAAAGGCCCACTGCACTACTTGTAGCTACTTGCGCCCTCTATATAACAAACAATGCCTAATCGGCGACCATTGGTCCCCCATGATCCTCTTTTTCTTATGTTAACTGAGAGCTGAGTTGATGAGATAACCACCTGTCCAGTGACCTTGCAGGGCGGTGTAATCCCTCCTGTATACTATGGCAGATAAGCTTTAAGAATTACTCCCAACTATTAAATTTTTTTGTTGTGGTTTAATCACAAATGGGAAACTTATTTAGGAGTATAATCGGTAATTATAAGAAATTATGAAAAATATGGAAATTAATATAGCATTTTATATTTATATCAAATATTTTAAAATTCTCTTTCATATCCCAACGTAAGTGTCTAATTAGCGTAGCCTATCAATCTGTTTTCATATCTCTCTCTCTCTCTTTTTTCTACCCCCCCCCCCCTTTCTACTTTTCCATTCATTTCGTTCTTCATTTACCTCGCCCTACTCATCTCGCACTTTGCACTGTCCTCCATTCTTCTCATCACACCTTCCACCTTATACCTCCAGACGGATACCCGCCATCAACTGGATAGCAGACAAGGTGCCGTGCTGCAGCGCTTGGAAACCGCTCCGATTCGGTCGTCCCACCTACCAGACCAACACACACACGACGGAATTCAACAACTTCTCCGACGGACATACGGGCTCGAGAGGGCGCAACATCGTCAGCATGAGCGGGAAGGTGGTCGATGGCCCTTCCAGGGACGATAGCCGTTCCAGGGACGATAGCCGAAATTCGACTACCAGTCCAATGTAGTATGATGTCGCCCGCGATGTCATCAACGATGGTTTATACTACACGATGTCGGTGGACGGTGTTTGGACCATTATTCAATTGTAGCATTTTTCTTTTTACAACAGGGTAGACTTTCATTTGTGGCACTGTTATATCTGACCTGGCGTAGGCTAGCTGGTCGGCCATTTGTCAGTTTAGTCACTCATGAACGTTTCATTGCAGTTCGAGCTTGGAAAATAACTGTCAACAATATACTTCAGACTATCTGCGAAGCAACGTTTTTTTTTAAATTATGTTAAGGAGATAAAATGTGTCATCTTTAAAATGTGTTGCCGGGGTAAGATATCAGATGTTCAGTACTTAGAAAGACAATATTGAGGTTCATCGATATGAGAATGAGAATGGTCTCAGTGGGCTGCTTGATTAGAATTCATGGTCATGGATTTCACGTAACATTGTCGTTGTGTGCTTATTGTTTTATTGTGTAATATTTATTTAACTTTCATGACGCGTCTGGTAAAACGTAGTCACATAAGTTATCAAATGACGGGTATAATAATTTTCGGCAATCGTGCAAAGTTTGATAAAGATAAGCTATAAAGATATCTTAGAACTTGTTGATATATATATGCAAATCTAGGGTAATCTTTCCCCCATCCCCCCCCCCCTCCTCTCTCTGTCTCTCGCTCTGTCTGTCTGTCTCTCTCTCTCTCTATCTATCACCCTCTCTCTACCTCGCCAAAACCGCTGCCTTTACTTTTTCTCCAAAAGCTAATTAGGATAGTTTTTACTCTTCTCCGATGACTTAGGCATTATTACCTACTCTCTTCATTCACATGACTTACGAAAAGACGAAGAAAAAAAAAGATTCTTAGTTTTTTTATGTTTTCGATGACAAAATTACCGACGAACGCATTTTGAGGGCGACAGAATACGGGTTATAATGACCAGGGCCTTGAACCATTACCTTCCCCAATGTCACTAGGGCAATGACATGAGGTTTGAACCTCGGACCTACCAGTTTCAAGACGGTAAGACCACTTCCCAAACAACGGACCCAACACACTGGCAGCTTTAGCTACATTTTGCCTCTCATGGCTTCCATTGATTTATTAGACTTTTTTTCCTCCAAACTTTAGGAAAATTAAATGTTCCTGACGATATAAGTATAGCAACGAAAGTCAAAATGAGGAATAAAATTCGTTTTGAATTACATGAGTAATCGCAATATACAAGTTCACGGTTAGCACAAGTCATGTCCCAAAATGACTTCGAATATCCACAGATCTTCAAAACATGAAGAGGTCCCACTGTGTGCATTTTGAAATATTATTCACTCCTACATCGATCGAGGTGCTACATAAGTAGCCTTTATTTCCCCTTTTCAAAGAATACTTCCACCTGTGTATCATGGAGTGCACTGCTTGTGCATAAATGAATAATGATTACATAACTTTCATGAGCACGTATCCAGTATTTTATTTCCGTGTATTTCACAATTTGGTCTGCAATGACCTTTATCTGCTCATGCTCGGACTGTAACTACATGTATGAACTGGCTTATTGTCTTGTAATCGTCATCGACATGAATTAGGACCTAACTCAATCAAAACCACATTATTTGCTACGACTGAAAATAAATGGACTTTTTGATATGTTTGAAGATTCATCTCCAGATTTCAAACAACCTACGTTTTTCCGATTTTTTCTTCCCCTCCTCCTCCTTCTTCTTCTTCTTCTTTTTCTTCTTCTTCTTCTTCTTCTTCTTCTTCTTCTTCTTCTTCTACTTCTACTTTCTCTTCCTCTTTTTTTCTTCTTCTTCTTTTCCTTTTTCTCTTTCTTCTTCTTTTCTTTCTCCTCTTCCTTCATCTACGTTGTTATCAAGTCAAATTTGTTTTGATGGATTTCGGCCTAAATTCCTCTCACGTGTTCAAGTTTTGATCACAAATTGTGCTTAAACTTCCAACAACTTAATCATTAATCTTTATTCAAATGTATAATCGGACCCTCATCCCCCCCCCCCCCCCTCCACCATTCCCCAATGAGTCGAGTTGTGGTTATCGTCGGTTGGTTATAATATGAGGTTGAATATATCGCAATTTGAATGAAAAGGTACCCGACGAAATAAATGAATCATTTTCTTAAAAACATTGAAAAGTCAGCTATTATTGAATGTACTATAAATGCCATGTATTATGTAATTATATCTATACATAAATGTATATAATATATAAAGTATTCATATATTTGGTTTGTTAAGGTGTGAAAAGGAAAATCATGTACAATGGAGTATAACATGTGCATTACGAATGTAATTAATTTATTGATTGCTGTGAATTTATATACTTTACATTTAACATCAGTAAAATGAGCATACGTAAAGATTTTTCTTCCTTCTTTTTGACTACATTATTTTTCTTCTTCTAACTTTTAAAACGATTCGAACTTGAATGAGAATGTATTTTGTGAGATCTCATCGCTTAAACATAGTTCTTTTCAAGTTGAAAATCAATACTGTGAATTGCATGTTCTTTTTCTGATGAAACGCTATTTAGGTGTTGTATATAAAATCTTTGTCAGTATTATGGTAGAATCCGTAGATAGGAGATAAATAGAGCATTTAATTTCATTTCGTCTTTCTTTTTCAAATTCTTTCAAAAGAATTCAAGATTAATTTTATCGTTTTTTCTATGTTTAGGATGCAAGTTATGTTCTTACAGTTCTTGCGCCGAATCGCTATGTTTTTATTTGCTTGGTCCGTCATTATTTGTGGACATCTTGATTTGAATATACAGTGTATTACAATGTAAAAATGAAACCGTGTTTTATTTTTAATATCTAACATAAGATAATGTATTTTTCAAACTGGCTTTCTCATTTATCTGTTCTCTCTCTCTCTCTCTCTCCCTCTATTTCTCTCTCTCTCTCCCTCTATTTCTCTCTCTCTCTCTCTCTATTTCTCTCTCTCTCTCTATTTCTCTCTCTCTCTATTTCTCTCTCTCTCTCTATATTTCTCTCTCTCTCTCTCTCTCTCTCTCTATTTCTCTCTCTCTATTTCTCTCTCTCTATCTCACTCTCTATCTTTCTCTCAACTCTGTCTATCATCCTTGTAATCTATTATTCTCTTCCTTCCTTGTGTTTGTTTATTTTACTTTTTTACCCCAGCCACACGGCCAAGCCAACCCCAAACCGAACGAATTGTTTTTGTCTTGTCCCTTTCGGATAATGCAATTGTTTTGTTTGGCCAGTAGTCGGTCTGGCGTCGGTTTCGTTGAAGTGGCTGAGGTATTGTTCTTATCATACTTCTCGTTGTGTTTTCTCAAATATTCTATTTTTCCTTCTGTTCTTTTTATTTCCTGCATTCTTTTTTTTAATGGTTATATGATAATGTTCACCTCTGTTCCTCTTTAAATTGTATTTATTTAGGTATTTTAATTATTTTTCTTTAAAAATCTTGATACCCGGGTTTCACTATCAGACCGACTCCAAACTAACCTCAAACCGACTAATGTTGGCCCTTGGTGGTAACGTATATTTTATCCGTCTGTAGTCGGTCTTGGGACTTTCTGGTCATTGTGACTGGGATATCGTAACCGAACCGACTGACGACTGGCAAGATAGCGGCCATTCAGGATACTTGTTTGTTCGGTTTGTTACCAATCAGCAATGATATCGACTTTGTGAGTTTGCGCTCCTTGTCGGTATGGCTGGGGCAATAGTAACATTTTGCTATTTTGGGTGATAGCGGGAAACCGATACTGGTCCCGATGGTCAGTTTGCGGTCTGGTTTCGGTCTTGTCAGTGTAACTTGGATATCAAAACTCTTCTAAGGTGATGCCGTCCAAATGTTGTGCATATTAAATCGACTTATCTGCTCAATCCCTTGTTGTATGTTCATGTTAAAGTAGACAATGTATTTTTGATTGTGTCTTAGTTGCCATCGCTGTTTAGAAGAAATAAAGACAAGAGGAAGATGTCTAATGACGAAATTAATTGATATTTTTGTTTGAGTATGTTTCATCAGTTAATTGTTGTTAATGTCTCAGGGAATCAAGACTAAATATAAAAAAACGCAGGTAACAATTCAACAAAGTCATGTACGTAGATTTACCGTAAAGAAAGTGTGAACAGGTTTGGTGTCGTCACAGAGTGTTTAAAAGCCGTATACACGCTCATGCAGCTGACGAGACTTCCAAGGACACCAACAGCCCATAAGATCGAAAGCACACGAGACCAACAGCCCACAGGACCAACAGCACACAAAAACGACAGCCTACAAGATCGACAGCCCGACGAGACCGATGACCCATGAATTCGAAGAAGTCGATTTCATGAACCTCAAGAATAGACCAACAGATCGGCAACGTGGCCTGTTGGTTTCGCGATTCATCAACGTCATAAAACCTCGGAAAACTTGACAGAAGATCCAGGATACCATATATATATATAATATTGTCGCTCTCTTGAGCACTAGCCGTTTCACCATCATCGTGATTTCCCAAAAGCGTGTGGCACAGGGTACCAATACTCCTTTTAAAAAAAAATAAAGTTTATTAAGTGCATTTTTCATGTGAAAAAATGTCATAACATTACATCACCGTAACGTTTTACTTTCGTGCAAGCTTGACAATCAAACTATTGAAAAGGGTATTTTACGCTTTTATAATCTTTTCCTTTTTCCAAAATGAAAGCGGATTTAGGTACTTCATCTCATTGTGTAAGGAAATAATTCATGTGAATGATTATGTTTCCGTGTGCTACTTATTCTTAATGTGCCAAATGTAAATCAGATTTTATAAGATAAGGTTACTGTTGTTGTTTCAACTTGGGACTTTATTTACCCAAAAGTTAATTTTGAGAAGACACATTAGGAATGAAGGAAGCAAAACGTCAGATCACTCTGTGCAATGTATTTAATAATCTCGTATATAGCAATAGTGCAGGTGACTTTAATCAGTGAATTAAAAAAACAACCAATATCTTAACTAAGAACTAATTTCGAAATATATTGTTCATCTTAATATCTTAAGTATATTTACACATTGCTATATTTACACGTTATAATGTTGTCCAATATATATATATATATATATATATATATATATATATATATATATATATGAAAGGAAATTATCGTAAATTCGTATATCATTTATAAACATAAATATGCTGATGTAGTGTATTCATGTGCCATTGGCATTTGCCGTGCCTTCGTAAATCGTGAGCTTGCTCTGATACCGGGAAACTTTGGTGCAATATTTACCTCGACATTGATATCGTCCAAAATAATGACCTCCAAGATCATGTATATATATATATATATATATATATCGTATCCGGACACCTACCCCTGGACATCCATCCCGGATATTCACCCCTAGGATAACTACCCTCTAGGACAACTACCCGCTGGGACAACTACCCCGGACAACTACCCCTATGGTAACTGCCCCCAGGGCAATTGCCCCCGGACAACTACCACCCAGACAACTATCCTCTAGGATAGTTATCCGGGGGTAGTTGACCTAGTGGATGGTTGCCGTAAAGGTAGTTGTCTGGGGGTAGTTGTCCGGGAGGTAGTTGTCCGGGGGTAGTTGTCCTAGGGAGTAGTACTGTTGTCTGGGGGTAGTTGTCCGGGGTTTGTTGTCCTAGGGGGTAGTTGTATGGGGGTAGTTGTCCGGGGGTGATTGTCCTATAGGGGGTAGTTGCCCTAAAGGGTAGTTGTCCTGGAGAGCGGTTATCCTAGGGGCGGTTATCTGGGGGTGGTTGTCCAGGGGGTAGGTGTCCTAGAACCGAATTTAGTTCCGGAATATTATGTTTAGAGCGACGAAATAAGCAATTGGGCGGGGAGGGGGAATAAACTTTTGGAAGGGGGTTAGACGGTCTAAATGTCAATTGAGAGCCGACTGTGACATGAATACAACATTGCCCTTTACGTTCTAATTAAATGTTGGCATCTTATGACAAAAATACATCAACAATTAAAATAAATATATCTTTATAAGTTTAAGTATCATAAGGGTGTGCTCGCGTGAGTGCGTATTGTTACGTGTCACTTTGCCTGGAATGTATCTGGTACGATTCAGATGTACAGTAATACGATTTTAAAAAATACTAGAATTAACAAACCTCTGTCTAGACTACAAACGTCATACTACGAAACAAATACATTCGTGGCAAGATTCCGTCTATACATACACAAAAACAAAAATGACTACATTTTAAAGCTACGTCTATTATTGTTTATAAGTACATATTTACATCAGATGTTATATGAAAGCACGTTTCAAGATTGAATGACAAATCTTTAATTTCAACAGTCCTGTGTACATATATCACATATTCATTTTTCATAAACATAACAGATCATATACCAATCATCTCTAAACATTTATTTTTTCAGTCCGATAGCATGAGAGTCTTTTTTGTTCAGATAATTGTGGCAGCTTCTTAGTTTCAACGAAACGTCAAATGTAAGGAAATAGAAGTCTGTGCATCCGTTGGAAAACCGATTTTATGAAACTGATATGATTTATGACAAATTAGAAAATGTAAACCAAATAAATACGAATGTCTGCACGCATTAATAGTGTGTATATAACATTGATATAATTTATATTCCTCCAAAATATAAAAGTAGACATATATTGTCAAGGCTTAAAATACGTTAATGTACATATTATGTGAACTTCATTGATGCGATACCAAAATAAAGACGGCGCTGATGGAATAATAAATAGATGGATCACTTTTGAAATGGAAACTACGATCCTAAATAAAAGGGGAAAGTAATTAAAAATGTTAGTTATACGCAATTGTCCGGTCGGTCTGACAGCTAAAGTATCATTGTATTGTTTGTAGGTCATGAAGTTTCAAGAATGTGAGTGCATAGAGTTCCGTCACCTAATGAGTTCACAATTTCACGTGTATTAAGAGCCCGCCCCCCCCCCCCACTCAGTGTTATTTAGGGTACGCTTATGCGTGTTCCCAGCGACCCCCCCCCCCCCCCTTTCAGCAAAAGTCCCGTGTGTAAAGTCAATACGGGTAGACCTTTTTCTTTTGTTACGAGCCGGAGAGTTTGGGAACACGCATGGTATCCCTCCGTTCACGGAGTGGGGGGGGGGGGGGAGGGGTGGGCGGTAGGATTAAGAGTATCGGCGTTTGGCAAAACGCTTGGGTGCATGAATTAATTATGCATTATTAGGGTAGCACCAAGTTTGCTATTTAGGCAAAGTGTATAGCGCCATCAATAATATGAATGTCAGCAGTGTAAATCGCCCTTCTACCTTCCTTTTACAAAGTTTGTATTCTCAAGCAGCAGATTATGAAATATATTTTTGCAGGGACATCTCACAAGTTATTTGTAGCTAGCAAGATTTTCTAACAAATTTATTTAAACCGTTATATTCACGGGTGGGGGGCAGTGGCATCGTCTCTATCTCTGCTGGGGTAGGTCAAAAACTTCAATAAGCCAGTTCGTAAATACTATCTGCGCATGGGTAGATAAAGGTCTTGTTCCCAAATTGTAAAAACCCATCGAGACGAACACTGATACCGTGCTCATGAAAGTTATATAATTAGTTTTAATGTATGCACAGACAGTACATTTATCTGATACAAAGCTCGAAGTATTCTTCTCAAGTGGTAAACAAAAGGTATCGAAGAAGCACCTCCATCAACTTCGGCAGTGATTATTCTAAAATGCACAAGTGGGACGTATCCATCGTGTAAAAGATCTGTGGATATTTTGGGGTCATCCGTTCCAAAGCTATTTACAAACTGGCTTTATATTGTCGAGTAACCGAAGAGTAACTTGTCAAAATCAATTGTAGTCTGAAGTCAGTCTGTATGTCCATGCATGATGTGATCTTCAGTACTAAATTAAACATTATATATGTTTATTATTTTAGGATAAATATGTGGTTGTTCGGAAGTCTGAAAGTTACAAATTATGACGGTGTTTTTGTTTTTAAAATGGCCACTGAAACTCTTGAGAAACAGGTATTAGTTTTTCCACTTGGTAACCCGATAGTTTAATTTGCTTCAATTTATTCCGGCTTTATTTCGTCCGAGTTACAGTCTCAGGGTTAATAGGGACTTTTAGATTTGCAAGTCGACATAGTGGACTGCTACGTGTGACGTCCTTTTAAGCTGGCAACCAAAGATGCCAGAAAAGGACGTCACACGTAGCAGTCCACGCACATCTAAAAGTCTCTAATGTTCCAAATTAGATGTAAGTTTAAGTTTTAATGTCAAGGTTAGAGTTAGTAGGCCTATTGGTCCAGGACTTCAGTCGGGAATATGGTCAGGGTAAGACCGCGGAACAGTAGTCACGGGATGATTTGTCGGCGAACTCTAATCTATCATCCTCGTCCTCGGCGCGCAATGGTAAACAAAATCTTTGAAATGTGTGCCAATTTTAAAGCATTTTTTCTGTACAAACTTTTTCAAATATATGTCATATAATTATAAAACAATTTAACCATTAAACATTTCGTATGTGTCAGCCTCTATAAAAATAGAATGATGTTTGGTCTGAGAAAGAAGACAAGCACAAAGTCAAATATGTTCCTAATAAACGGATTAACACTCCAGCATTAATGTGTGGAAAAGCAATTTGCTTAGGCCTAGTTAGAGAAAAGCAAAAAGCAAAATTACACAATTCTGTGTGTGATTATAATAGTCTGATAATGTAACCTTTATTGCGCTTGAAAAACAATCCCTTCCTTTGTCGTTCATGCCAGTGTGTTTTCATTAGAATTTAATCACCGAAATAGATACATGATTGAGGTGCAGTTTAATCATCGAGAGCCTACTGTGACCCACGTAATACCACCCAATACACACGTTAAATGCCATTATCAGAAATCAGTGGCGTAGCGAGTGTGCACCGAGTGAGGGGGACAATTGGGAAGGGGGCGCTGGTCTTACACGGAAATTAAAATGCGAATTTACATGGCTATGGCGTGAGAGTTAGTACACCTTTTTCCTCTCTATTTATACCACCACTCGATTAGGGAGGGGGAGGCACGTTCCCCGGTGCCTCTTTAGTTACGCCACCGTCATAAATTGCAGTTTCGATAAGTACCGTTTATACGCTCTCTTAATGCTCTTGATCTCAGAGAGTGAGAGAGGGCACTTAAAAGTAATTGTTTTAATTTAGGAAATTGGCAGATTTCGATTACTATACAATCGAAAGTACATAGCTGTAACCCACTAGATTTTTATGAACATTTTATACTTGATACATGTATCTACGTGCACTACTGCGACGAAAAACATGAATGTCGAAAACGAAATGCACCTTTGTAACACAGGCGTAACATAATGCTTATTTTCATGGTTTTCCAAAACGATTTATATTTGATATATCATGTATTCATTGTAAAAATTAGTATAGATATAAAGACATCAATTTGCTTTGTCGATGGAACCATATGATTGATATAATTATACCTAGCGAACATATTTAGGCAAACCCATTTCAGCAGAGTATAGATTTACGTCAATCCAAGCAACTGTCGCTAACGTTCTTGGTCCAGTGTGGCTTACAGGAGATTAGTACAAATATAAATTACAGTACATGTTCAGATTCAGCTGAGATGAATACCTTGATGTCCTTGATAATTCCAGTTTCTGTACAAGATAAGAATATAGTTTGTTCCATTACAAAGAAATGACAGCAGTCGTAGCATTGCGAACATGACAGGGCATCCTGAACTATCAAATGTCACGGGTGTGGGCCGCAGATGAACCGAAATTGCAGGCGTACCCCGCGATCGGGCCTTCTCGCCCGCTGGTATCCAGACTGGAATAAAGAGTCTTTGAGCCAACGTGGGACGTGCTGGAAGCGTAGCGACTGGAGTTGTCATCCATGTGCGTCCGGTCGTTAGCATACTTTGACTTGTTGAAGCGGCCTGAGGTGGCCCGCACGAACTTGAAGCAACCAAACGTTTCCAAGGTCTCACGTTTGACGTTGCCGCTGAAGGCCAGGTAAATCAAGGGGTTGGTGCAGCTGTTCAGGTTAGCCAGCAGCATTATAATGGTGAAGGCATCACCTGTTGGGATAAACGAGAAATAATGAACAAAATACGAAATATATTAAGGTACTAGTTGAGGTAGAGCGTCTTATAAAATTCGTTTAGGAATTGTGTCACTTTAAATAAATCACGACGTGTATTATGTTTCTTCTTTTCCCACCTTTAAATAGCTGCTTATTTTTACACGCTAATAGTCATGGCTACTTTGCTCATAACAGTGTTATTTTAGCTTTCAAATCTATTTGAATATTTAGTATAGACCATATCGATGATAATCTAGCTGTAGTCCATAAACCTCAATGCCCATCTGCACTAGTTAGCCATGAAGGATTAGACCTCCCTGCATTGTCACTGACAGGTGGTTATCTCATCAAATCAGCTCTCTGTTAACATAAGAAAAAGGGGATCATGGGGAACGGTCATCGATTATGCATTGACTGCTATATAGAGGGCGCAAGTAGCAATAAGTAGAACAGTGGGGCTTTAAGACTCAGACTTTTGTACATACTTGAGGATCTGGAAATTAATTGCAAGACATATAGCTGGTTAACCTACCATGAAAGGGGGCACTCGAGGGGTGCCAGACGTTCCAAAGCTGAGCCAAGCTGAACGGTGTCCAGCAAGCCACGTACACCGTGACAATGGTTAGGGTCATCTTGATGGTTTTGACCTTTGCCCTGCTGACCCTTGCAGCTGACCCGTGCTTCCTGCAGAGTGGATCTTCTCTCTCGGATGTCGGTTTCGATACCTAATTTGATAAAAGAATAGAGCGTTACATGAGTTGATTATTTTGTTCAAGTTCAAGTTCATTCTTTATTCGGTTTAAAAGACATGTAGATATTGAAATACATACGAAGCATTTTAAGCTAAAATGCAAAGTATTTTTAAATGAATTCATATAAAATAAGAAGAATAAAAGGGCTATCATCAAAAGCCTATTGCGGCTTGACAGGTAGATGGTCCCAAAAGTTATCAGGTTATAAGCTTAAGATTACTATCTCGGCGGGGGAAAATACGTAAAACAAAGATGCAAGTGGTTTTGCATTGAAAATTTAATTAAAAACAACTAATGATTTAACAAAAAATAATTTGTTTTTTATGCGAAAATTAAGGTGCGCTATCGTTGGTATGGTTTGTGCGTGTACGACGATCCCTTCAATGCACATGGGTCATCGATTCGTGAGGACATATTAGTCATACCAAAGCATTGACTGAATTACCTCCATATGCGAAATAAACTGATGCCTATACTGAACGGCAGACAATCGCATGTGTGATTTACTTACTCACCGTGTGTTTTTCGTTTTTCAGGCTGCATAGGCGTTTGAAGTTTATTTGGAGATTAATCATTGGATGGAAAGGAAGTGCGGTTCAAAAGCTTTCTTTCGATTCAACAAATGATTACGGTATACTTGTAATTTAAAGGAAATACAAAGTTTAGGGATATTTTGAAAATTGGGTGGAAAATGATTCTTTACAATTTTGGTATATTTGGATGCCCCTGTGGATGTATTATAGGCACTAGAAAATTTAGCTTCTGAAACACTTCTGCTTTCGAGAAAAATTGAATATAAAAATGTACCGGTGCTCCTGGTAAATTTTGATAAATTTCAAATAGCGCCTACGGCCGTACAAAGGTAGCTGCGACCATGAAAATATCAGAACATATAGTTGTAATATATAATTACCAAACGGGAATAGCTAATCGGTCGATTTTAGTCAAGAAACATTGTATTATAGCTTAATTAATATCTTGACCTTGAGAGGGAGCTATACAACATAAACAGTTTAATATTTAAAAATTCATAACTTTAGACTCGATTTCAACCGCGACAACGATCACTGATTATTAAAGGATCGCATATGCTTCCTATAGGTAATTTTGAACCAAATTCATGACCCGATACCAAAACATTGTATTATGTTTAAGGTTTATTAGAAGGAAATCCTCTTGTGTTAATCAACTACGAGAGCATAAATTTTGAGAGCATATCGCATATCGCATATAAAGTAGTTAATAGAAGCAAATCGTTATGATGCAATGCTTAATTATAGTGGTTGTTAATGATGTCGGCTATCAGTTGCCAATTACCTTTACTTCTACACCATCGGCATCCCCGTCGTCATCGTCGACGTTGGTAGTAGCTACACTACTGGAATGATGTCCACCATTCTTGACCTTCTTGCGGTCACTGTCCGGAGTCTTGCCCATGTTTCTCCACACTGTGTAACAGACAAGCCCATACGTGATGCCAAGGATCGAGCTTGGTATGATGTATACCGCCATCACGAAAAACGTAATATAGGCCCGGGGAGACCACGAAGTAAATTTCATCACCGCCCAACATTGGTATCCCCCTTCCACAGCAACGTTCTTAAAGATTATCATTTGTGGTATGGCATAAAGAAACGACAGTCCATATGCTATTGCGATCATGATGCGCATGCGCTTCGTGTAGTCACCGCGTAGACCGAGCAAAGGATGGCAGATTGCGATATAGCGATCAATGGCGGTCATGACGAGGATGTATGTGGAGAGATACATCGGAAAGACTTGGCCGTACTTGACGATACGACATACAGCGTCCGGAGCATAGAACAAGTAGGTAATGTCCCACACGAGCTGAGTGAATATGCTTAAGAGACAGGTCAGCAAATCGGCAACGCAGAGGTGTAGGATGAAGAAGTGCATCCGTGACAGTTTCTTGCGACGTCTCCAAAGGGAATGTACTACGATGGAGTTGCCGAAGAGAGCGATGACAAGGATCAGACTGCTCACGAAAATCTCCCACTTTGCCAGATTTGCGTTTCTATCATCGGATGTATCCGTGATGTTACCAGAGTTGTTGCCAGGTGTGGGAAGCCATGGTTCTGTTGTGGCGCCCTCTACGGGTGTGCTAGGAGAGTAATCAGATGCCTCGACGGGGCAGTCAACGCCACTACAAGCCATCCTGCGAACATGAACCTGTCTTCTTTGGCAATAATTAAGTGTTACTTGCAGTAACCACAATATTCGGTATTCCTATTAAGGTTCATTAACCAATGATCGTTATCCTTTCCGTGTTGTTCCTGCTATTTTCACAGTTAACGCCGTCGAGAATACCTGAAACAAAAACAAAATATATTTTGTTAAATGAAATCATTGTAATCGTTCTACTCATACCCATTTCCTTTATTTAGAAGTGCGCTGTGGATGCATGCAACAAAGATATACTGATTAATATTCATGAGCAAGGGACTGAGAAAGAATAGAATATGATAAGAAAGAAAACAGATTTCAAAATGTGATAGGACAGTTGATTAAAGAAACAGAATGGATAGCGTTGAATATGATCATGCGAATCATGCTAGAAGATAAAGTTTGAAAAGGGAACATACAAAAGAATCATAGGAGAGAGGAATAAAAGAAATATAATACAATGGGGGACAAAAACAGTTCAGCAGTTCAACAGAAGTGAGAAGGACAACACGACCTGCCTTCTAGCATGTCCTTCGCAAGAAAATGTTTTTTTGTTTGTTTCAGAAAGATGGCGTCTAAAGCTCTCGCCGCCGACGGGATAACTGAAGTCCATCAAGCCCTAATATCCTGACCATTTCTCCGGGCCATTGTCTATCAAGTTAAAACCGGTCCGTGTTTGCCTTAGAATAACGCAATTTTCTTCACTCTCCAAGCACCACAAGGACGGCAGCAAGTGAAATGAGAAAACATTACTCAGTCACTTCGATAGCATCTTGGGACGTTTGCTCTTGTCAATTACAAACTTCAGCTCTCGCTCTTTCTCTCTCTCTCTCTCTCTCTCTCTCTCTCTCTTCTCTCTCTCTCTTTCTCTTCCTCCATCCACATTCCTTTTGTTTCTGTCTCTCTCTCTGTTTATGTATAGCTGCCTTCCTTTTTCCTCTGTTCTGTGTCTATGTTTGTCACTACACCCCCTCCATTACCCCCTTCTTTACTTCCCACTCTCTCTATCCCCCTCCATATTTCTCCGATATTTATATTGTTTATATATCCTTTTTTCTCTATATTTCGCTCTTCCCATATCTTTCTTTCATTCTTTCCCTCCCTCCTTTCTTCCTCATTTTGCGTCTGTTTATGTCCCTCTCAAATACCACCATCCCGCGGATGGAACCCCCAAAATAAAGGTGTTTATAGGAATAATTAATTAACGAACTTCCAAATAATAGAAAAACTTTATCTTAAAATTAAAAGTTGAGGTAGAGGAATATTAACTTTATAAGAAAAATGATCCGGAGGAAGAAAAAAAAAGGGGAAAACGATGAAGTCTCTAAACCTGGGAAAATAAGAAAAAGGAGAATACCAAACACAGTGATAAGGGGATTGGAAGAGGATACCTCTATTCATATAATTTCTACTTACATTACGTCGCAACACATTTATCCTTAGGCTTGCAATAAAGTCTAGAAACCCTTTTTTTATAGGCCTATCTCCAAAGAATTGACGAATAATCGAATCAGCTCAAGCTGAATAACCCTCTTTGCTTATGGAAATGGGGGGCTAGTGCAACAACTCTTCGGGGATATCCAAGGTCCTTTGTTGGAGCTGAAGAGCCCATTCTAACGCATTCGGAAAGCATTACGAGATATCATATTTCGACATTTTGCATAATACAGAACACTGCGAGTGATATCGGGGAAGAGATTCCAATAAATCATTCTACTGCTTTCTAAATATTCGGGTTTTTTTAATGGACCTTTAAAGGAATTTATAGGAAGGTATATTTTGTGTCAGAAAACTGCATATAGAGATGGATTTTGAAGGCATCAAGCTTGAATAATAACAAAAATCAAAAGGGTATCGAAAATATTTGTTTTAATAGACACTGTCTCGGTCAAAGTGAATGAAAGGATACGAATGATCATCATTATTGAAACCGGCGGTGACAATAGAGGACGTGATTATGGCTATACAAAATAGACGAGGTACAATTTTTTGGAAATCGGGATAAAAGTGAATCGTAGAAGGATCTCCAAAACTCACGGGGACAGAAGGAGCGGGAGGTATGACACTAAATCACAAAATGGTGATGTTTGACCAACATTTCCAGGTTTATTGGTTTTGCTGCATTTTGTAATGTTTATGTTCACATTCGTATGAACTCAAGTGTTGTGGATTAAAATACTTAGCCAGAGAGTCGACGCTTTAAATTTGTTTCATTATTTTACTCATGCTTGACCAGAATATGAAACTATGGTAATATAAATTTGATACTGAGCGTATTACAGTAAATTTCAAGAGCACATTCTCAACACTACAAGATGGATGAAATTTAAAGGCACCCAACGCGTCACTGCAAAATGTCATAGGAAGACTTGAGCATGCGTACAGACAACATCCATACATGAAGAGTGTCTTGTTACAAATTTGGTGGACCAGTCGGTGCCCATATTATAATACCTATAATACCCACAGATATCCGATGTGGGATTGTGGGTGCACAACCGGCCCGATCATGACGAACTACAGAGGCGCGCGTGTCCGTGTATAAAAGACAGGGCTTGGAGTATCATGATGTGGGACCGGAAGAGCGTGACTTTCCATTGCTTTAGGCGGAGCACTGGCCCCGTGGACGTGGACGGTTTGCAGGGGATATCACCCGCAAAAAGTACACACGGAGAACGTGCCGAGTAACTCATGATAACTTGGTTTCTAATTATTTTGATGACGTGTTGTCTCTGCGATGATGAAAGTGGGTGAGGGAGGGATAGAGAGAGAGAGAGAGAGAGAGGGGGGGGGGTCGGGAGTCGGGAAGACTAGCGATGGATTTGAAATGAATAGAATATCTTATAGAATCCTTAAGAATGTAGATGAAAATTGGATACTAAGAAAAGGTCATTTATTCAAATATGTTATCAATATTACATATTTCATGAATATAACAAGAACCACACTCGTTAGGAGAGATACATAATGATACTAAAGCTTATTTTCCCGATTAAACGAAGTCAATACAGGCACATAAATAAAACAAAAGTGAAAACAAGGTGAGATAGAACAAGAGTGTGGGAAGGGAGGGAGGTATATAGTGAAAGAGAGAGAGAGAGAAAGAAAGGGGAGAAATAAAGAGAGAACAGGACACAAGGCAATACATAAAACATGACGTATTAAAAAGTAAGAGAAAGAGAGAGAGAGAGAGAGAGAGAGCGCGCAAAAGAGAGATGGGGTGGAACGAGATGCCGAGACGCAAAGCAGTATATGGAACATTAATTTGTCAAGGATGGGGGAAAGGATACCAGATGAAAAAAGAGGGAAAAAGCGGGGATAAAAATAATCATCATATTAGAAGAGTGTGTGTGAATTAGACAAGAAATGACGAAATGAGGAAGTGGCGACCAGGTGTAGTCAACAACACAACGAGTCACGTGAGCAATGACGTCAGAGAAACAGCATAAAGAGCTCGTTGACAAGATAATATTCATGATTTATGAGGAAGCATTTTCGCGCTCGATTTTGAAGAACAACAATTTCTTTACATGAATTCGTAGCACATTGACGAGTTACAGATGTGGAGAGGTTTAGATGAACATTACCTTTTTCAGACATGAAAATGTTCAGTAGATACAATCCAGAGTAGATATCAACTTCCCCAATCGGTGAACCGACGCTTTCTTTCTATTATTATAATGTATTCATTAATTTATCAATTAGTATCCATTAATGTATTTTTTTGTTTATTTTGTATTGATTAAAATTGATTAATCAATTAAATGATCGAAAATGTGTTGTTTAAATGTTTGTATATCAATTCATTAATACATTGATACATTTACGTATTTCTAATTCATTCGTTTATTTATTCATTCATTTAAATACTTGCCTACCTATGCATGTACATAAACAATTATTTCTTTCTCTTTGAAGAGCTACGACAAGGACGTCTGATTTATTTGTAATAAAAAGTATGTTCGAATCATTTTCTTTCCTTTTTGTTATACTAAGCGTTGCTCGTCACAACTTAAAAAGAATTGTCACGTGATAAATGAAAAGCAAAATGGTGCTGAAATCGTAGTTTGGGTCATTCTAATATCGTTTAATAAAAAAAAACTGCAATTTAGGAGTGGTTCCATTTGTAAGTAAAGTAAAAACGCTATTTTTATTTCGCTTTATTTCCCCCCCCCCCTTTTTAAATAAGTTTAATTTCTCTTGTAGAGTAGGGTTTCACAGATATAAAAAAAAATAAAGATCGCTTTTTTAAAGAAAAATGGGTATTTAGAACTCACCGTGATTGCCATTGATTTTATATTTGTTTTCTGTTTTCCTCGATACCTATATTCTAATTGTCTTGCTTTAGCTTAGTGATAAACACAGAACCCTCTGGCTCATCAGATTACAATATACGTTTTCCATATGTGACAGGCGATATAGAGGCAAGAAAATATCACTAAGTCCCCACGGTGGTACCCAATCGAAACCAGAGAAAACAAATCAAAGCTGTGGGTCTGAATATCCAGTGGATTTCAACAAGAAATATGGTTCCCCCAATGTCATCTTTTTCTTAAATATCCAGGCAGGTGTACAAATAGCGGATCATCGACTGTCAATCACCGGGCCGGTTCGGGGTACTTGAGAGGGTAAACATGCACCACCATCGCCGATGCTTTTTTCTCACCTGATTTCAAAGTCGCGTTGGGAGTGACAGCGAGGGACGGCCAAGATATTTAGGAATTAAATCTTATCGATTTGCGCGCCCTCACTTGCTCATGTCAAATGGCCAATTTAAAATCGCGTGCGGATGTAAACGATCCCGATAACAAAGTCGTCTGGCATAATCGCCCAAAAAATGGAACGGATTAATTGCGCCGATTAAAGTCAGTATCAATGTTAATAGCCTAGAATTTTTTTCATCTTTGTTTGTTGTTGTTGGTTATATCTTTGAACATGTTGAATATTTGTATCAAATATGGCATTGATCTGTTAAAATTGGGTTATCGACGTAAAAGTCAGTATCAATGTTAATAGCTTAGATTATCTTTCATCTGTTCTTTTGTTGCTGGTTATATCTTTGAATATGTTGAATATTTGTAGCAAATAGGGCATTGATCTGTTAAAATTGGGTTATCGATAATGGATAACTTTACAGACATTTA